TGCCAAAAACATGGACATCACCCACACTGGCCAATTGCATTTTAGTAACCTGTCAATCTTGGCCAGGTTACTAAGACATACACTATCTTTTTGTGTGTATTTTACTCTCAATGGGATCATAATTAACAAAATGGACATAATGGTGCAGTGAAGCTAGTGATTGAGAAAATAAACATACTGTATTAGGACAAGGTTTACTGAGGTAATAAATCGAATGAGAACATTTTCTCATAGTCTTCTCAACAATCTGTATTCATTTTGCAAGTGGAGTCGCCCCTGGCTTGTCCATATGATATTTTGCAGGTTTATGTAACTCCACTCTGGCTCACTTTTCAGAGCCAAAGTTTGTGGCTTATGCAGTATAATGATTATACTTGCGCTAATATAGCTCAACTCGGTCTATATCTTTATAAACTAAATGTCAAATGTGCTCAGTGTAATCGTGGTTACTTGTGGAACCTGGTCCGATAAGAATATTTACATTGTGCAATGTTTTGCTCAACATGTACTTATGTCTTTAATTAAGTGAAATCAAATAATGCGGTTAAAATGCTGTGGTTAAGAGTGTGATTTAGATTTTGTCGTACTGAACTTCAATAGTATTGACGATCTGATTCAGCACTATCATATGCATTTTTTGTTTCCTGAACACCTTTGGATGTTGAAGGTTTAGTCACCACATACTTGGACACTTCCTATCTTGCACTTGTTCAGCAAGGCTAATCACAATACTGCTGTTTCTACATGAATTACTCTCAAAGTCTTGATACAGCTGACAAATTGCTTTTTTTCCCTTACTGCCAATGACATTCTGCATTCATGGTTGGATAGTACTACTCTCAGCAAAGTGTCCCATGCAGTCTCTTCTCCCCACTGAGCAAGTTTCTTCTCATCCTTCAATTTCACTTTATCATCTGAAAGTACAAATTGGGGCTTAATGTTCAATTGAAATTCATTGAAGCATTTACATGACATTTAGCAATGGTTGCATAATGTAGGAATAATAAAATATGTCAAACTGAACAGATTCACTCTCTGCCCGTGCTATCTCATCATTAAGCCAAGACATGCATGAGCAGGAAGATATCTTTACACACTCAATGTGTGGGTATGTGTTTTCTTTTTGCTCTCGGCCTTAAAAACAGTATTTGCTATTTGACTCGGGAAATGTTTGTGTTTCACTGCTCATGCTCATACATGATAACTTTAATGCATAGATGGTTGACATTTGAGAAAGTCCAAGTTACCCTGATCATCCTCGAACAGAGCTGGTTGCCACATGATGACAATCACTGCAGTTCATTTGTATTCTACTATCCTGTGAAGCCGACAATTGAGCGGCCCGACCAAGCAAGGAGGCAGAGGCAGAACGTCCAGAAATATAACCTGGTGTTGGCATTTATTAAATTCGAGCACAGGACACAGCCTCAATCTTGCTGTTCCCGTGAGCACAGTCAACAGTAGGGTTGCAAAGGGGCGGACATTTTCCGGTAAATTTCCGGAAAGTTTCCATGGGAAGTTAAGTTGGGGAATTTGGGAAATATTCGATGCAAAATTAAACAAAAAAACATGACATTTCAACAGATTATTTTTTTTTTATTGTTTTTTAAGTAGAACAGAACAAGTTTTAATTATTTTATTGAACAATTATTTGTTTCATTGAAGAACGAAAACAGGAATGTTGAGTTAAATGTTACTCATTGTGATGCCCCTGTGGGTCCATCAGTCGAGAGGGAGTGGCTGTTCCGTCTGTGCTGCAGTGGATCCAGTTATTGCCTTGATTGCGGTGATTCAGGGCACCTGGGTCTTGTGTCCTGGAGCTATTTAAAGCCTCTCTGCTCCTATCTGGGGGCTCTCAGCTTTCTCCTGCAGGCTCCCGGCTCTGATGAGTATATCCAGTGTCTATTTCGACGTGTTTGTGCAAATAAACACCTTTTTCTACCCGTTAATGTTTTGTGTCTCCCTTTTGTTGTGGCCTTCTGAGCCAGGTCGCAACAAATGGGGGCTTGTGCTACGGGTTATTTAGAGAAAGTTTGTGTAGTGCTCAGAGCACATGGTGTCAGTTGAGCAGCTGATTAGTTGATGTGGTCCAGCTGTGTGCTGGCTTGACACTGCTATTTGGGGGACACATCATGTTTTTTGGGTTTCAGGAAGCTTTAGTGTTTGACATGTGTTGGGGCAGAATCTCTGCTCCTCGCCGTTCCTCTATGAGTTTGTTTTAAAAGAAGGAAAAGTCAAAGCAGCCAGGATAAGGGTTAAACAATAATCTGCTTTAATGGCAAAAACATACAATACATCACCCAATCACCTAATCACGAAGCACTCTGCAGAGTACTCCGGGCTCAGGTTCTACCACCGTGTGAGACACGTCTCAGGAACGGCAAGTCAAAAACAAGAGCGCAGAGCAAAGGAAAACACAGGCTTTCATACTAAAAACACAGGAGCAGGTGTGTGAATGCTTCCCCCAGAGGTCATCTTATTGGGAGAGACCAACACATGGCCTGTCGTACCCAATCAGCGCGACACAGCAGAAGAAACCCGGAAACAAAAAGTCTCTTTCAGTTTGACGAAAACCAGATACCTTTTGGTGTCTGGAACGAACCTGCTCTAAACAACAAGTTTCCTNACACACACACACACACACACACACACACACACACACACACACACATAAAAATACAAATCACGACTCAACAAAGCAAGTACAAAATCTTTAAAGAGGCCCCTTTCTATTTTTTTGAGTTTTCCCTTTCCTGTAGTGAGTTCTTTAGGTGTTAGTGCATGTAAATGGTCCGCAAAGGCTAAAATCCCTGTGTTCCCTCCAGAGGGAGTTTCTCTCTCACACACTCCCCCTCTGCCTGAAACGCCTCCATTAATCTAACATAAAACAATAAAAGTATTTTGTGGTAGATTTCTCAAATAACTACCAAAATAATAACGGCATTTGTCACAAGCGGAGAAAAGATGATCTCAAATAAATGTTCTCTATAGAGAGAACATTTTGTAACATCACTTACAAAGACACAAGCATGATTTAACCGAGGTAGCAAATATACTTTCTGGATAATATACCCCTTGGAATAAGTGTTGTCCACAGAAAAAAAAAAGCCACTTTAGTTCCCCGTGGCAGAGGAGCAACGTGCTGACGCTTCAAATCTGCAGCCGGGTGAAGTGACGCGGCAATTATCTAATCCACTTTGTTTACGCCTTAAACCCCGCGAGACTGAAATAAGCTCTGGAATAAAAGCCACACTCCACGTCTGAATCCAAACTCTGCTTTTATGACACTCATCCCAGCGGCTGCGGCCCGGCACACTTTGATTGTTGCTGCATTGTTTGTTTGATGTTTTTACCAGCTGGGTGTGTGCAGCCATGTTCAGTGGTTCCTCACCTCAGAGAGGAGAGAACCAGAGGGACACACTCATACACACTCATACACACTCATACACACTCACACACACTCATACACACTCTCATACACACTCACACACACTCATACACAACACCAGAGATGGCAAAAGTACGCACATCCTTTACTCAAGTAGAAGTACAGATACTCGTGTTTAAAAATACTCTGGTGTGCCTTGGCAGTCTCAGCAAATCAATAGGCACGCAATGACTCTAAATAATAATGATCATGCCACCAAACACACATTCAGACTAAAGGAACCAGCCTGTTTGGAAAATGAGAGAAGTAGAACGTACAGGTATTTGGGTTCAACATGTGAGAAGTAGAAAGTACAGGTATTTGAGTTCAACATGTAAGAAGTAGAAAGTACAGGTATTTGTGTTCAACATGTAAGAAGTAGAAAGTACAGGTATTTGTGTTCAACATGTAAGAAGTAGAAAGTACAGGTATTTGTGTTCAACATGTAAGAAGTCAAAGTAAAAAGTCGTCGGAAAAATAAGTCTTGGAGTAAAGTACTGATACCAGAAACAATTTACTTAAGTAGAGTAACGAAGCATTTGTACTCCACTACTTCCCACTTCTGGACAAAACGAAAACCAGTAAGAGATGGTGAAGCTGTGGAAGAAAGGATGGTGAGAGAAAAGGGAGGAGGAGAAATGACCCAGGAAGATTTGTTGATGTGTCTGCATTGACCACAAAATGACCATTTATATATCTCAATTCCTCAGCCCGTGTGTGATGCTCCTGTGGGGCCATCAGTAGAGAGGGTGTGGCTGTTGTGTCTGTGCTGCTTTGGTTGTAGTGATTGCATGCAGGGCACCTGGGTCTGGTGTCCTGCAGCTATTTAAAGCCTCTCTGCTCCTCTCTGCTCCCCCCTGCAGACACCTGGGTTTTGGTTGAGTATGAAGTACGGGTTTTCTCAGTTGCTCCACTTTGTTGCACTTTATGAGTTTGGCTAATTTGAATTACTTTCTTTAATAAACATATTTTTCTACCCGTTGACATGTTGTGTCTCCTTTTTTTTTGTGGCCTTTTGAGCCAGGTCGCAACAAATGGGGTCTCGTCCTACGGGTTATTTCTAGAAAGTTTGTGTAGTGCTCAGAGCACACGGTGTCATTTGAGCAGCTGATGTGGTCCAGCTGTGTGCTATTTGGGGACACGTCATGTTTTTNCGTTCTATATAAGGTGACATTAAAATGAATATACCAGATTGAACTTTCCTGCCATAACACGTTACTTTAATCCTTCAAATAATTCAAATAATACTTCACATGTCATCAGGTTTTGTGTGCCAATCAGAAGGTAAGATGTTGCTGCTTGTTACGCTTTGTAAAGAGTTTTCCCCGCTAGGCTTCAGTGGCGTTTCCCCTTNATCACTGGATCCAATGCAGCACAGACGGAACAGCCACACCCTCTCTACTGATGGACCCACAGGGGCATCACAGCCCCCCCCTTAAGACGGGGCCCCAAAGGGGTCCACGACAACCCAACATCCTTCTTCTCAACTCCAACTTTTATGTTCCACTCCTCCTTGGGTTGGCTGGCGTTGCCACAGCATGTAGGCGCTCATCGGCCCCTTGGGGGCACCGACCTCCTTCGGCCTCCTCTTCTTCGGCCTCCTCTTCTTCGGCCTCCTCTTCTTTGCTTTGCGGGGTCCTCTCTTTCTTCTCCTTCACCACTGGAGACACACTTGGAAATTGCAAACCGCTCTCATCTGGCTCTGCAGATGCCAACGGCCTGGAAACCACCACAGGTGGTGGCACACCTGCCCACACAGCACTAGCAGCAAGATCGTTGCCCAAAATCATCTGTACCCCATCAAGTGGCAACGCGGGACGCACACCAATAGACACAACTCCCCGTACCAGCTCACAATCCAGCACTACTGTATGACGTCGCACAGGAATCAAGCCCATCTCCATTCCCCTCATCAGCACAAAATCCCCAGTCTCTGTCTCTGACGAAAAAGGCAACACTGACTCAACAATAAATGAGTATCTAGCTGCTGTGTCACGCAACACCTTAATCGGAACATACTTGTCACTACCAACTACTGATACAACGACTTCCGTTATGAACGGCCCAAAAACAGAACCCACATACAAATCGGCACAAACCAGCTTCTTATCAGGCACCATGCCCGATCCTACACCCTGCGTTTTTTTAACCAAAACGGCAGAACAACACATGGCTGGAGCATGTGATGAAGAACGAGGCTTCCCCTCAGGTTCCAGCAACGGACACTGCTCCTTCCAATGACCCTCTTCTCGGCAATAATGACATTGGTCCACTCTGGCGTCTTGGGATCGCCCCGGACCTGCAAATCTACGGGAGGAGCCTGGTGAAACTTTTGCACCACCGTGGGAATAGCCACCATCCTCTCCACGTTTCGAATCACCCCTAGAACACTTCTCAGTAAAACTGCCCTTATGTGTCAACACAAAATCGTCCGCTAGTTCAGCAGCTCTGAGCGCGGTGGAAGGTTTCTGCTCATTTACATAAGTGGCCACATGCTGAGGGATAACCTCTTTAAATTGTTCTAATACAATGAGTTCACAAAGACCGTCAAAACTGGCAACCTTTGCTGCCGCGCACCACCGCTGAAAATGAGAAGTCAAATCATGGACAAACTCCACGTGTCTGCTTATCCCCCTTGACCCAACTTCTGAACTTTTGACGATACGCTTCAGGAACCAGTTCGTATGATTTTAACACTGCTGATTTTACTCTAGCATAGTCCAAAGCATTTTCGCCAAAAACAGCTGAATAGGCCCCCTGTGCTCGCCCAGTAAGTACACACTGAAGTAACAGCACTTTGTCCGAATCTGACCAGTTTCTTGCCTCTGCTATGCGTTCAAATAGAGTAAAAAAAATGTCAGGGTCACGCTCATTAAACTTTGGCACTAACCGCAAGTAAGAAATAATATCGCCATTACCTGACGCCGACCTATCACAACCATCCTCCACCGGAGCAAGCTTGCCCTCTCCAATCAGCCGTAATCTAGCATATTCCACCTCAAATTTCATCTTTTCCACCTCCAACCCCAACTCCAACCTCTCCTGATTAAACTTCATGGCCAAAAGCTCCTTTTGCTGCTCGAACGTCAAACCAGCTGTCTGAACCACTACCGGCATGACCCCTGCCGCACCAGACTCACTGTTCTGCAACTCTCCCTGATCAAACAAAGATGACACGATGACAGCTTTAATCTCATCCTTCCGCTTGCTCCCTACAACAGCAATGTTATAATGCTCGACCAACTGCTCCTTCTTGCAATTATCTAAGAAAGACACTGAGGGCGCATCCACAAACGCCGACAAAGGAGCCATAATATATTACCTATAACCAATCAGAAAGCAACATTTAAAACTGCCAACACGCATGGGCAAAAGACAAACCCAACAGAGAATTTTCCCCCTAACTGCCTCACCAAAATCTTACTAATCTCACCTAGTCTTCATGTGGCCTTGCGGCGGGTAATTACGCACTGGAACCCGGCAGAGTTATGGAGCAACCTGCACGCAGGTAACACCAAGAAATCACGCGGATGTGCCCCCGAGACAGCTGTCCGAAAACAGCTGACACTAACCACGTCGCCACAACACTATGAAAAAAACAAACAGACGCACCCCAAGGGGAAACGCCACTTGAGCCTAACGGGGAAAACTCTTTACAAAAGCGTAACAAGCAACATCTTACCTTCTGATTGGCACACAACACCTGACGACACTAAAGCTTCCAGAAACCCAAAAAACATGACGTGTCCCCAAATAGCACACAGCTGGACCNTTAAATTGGATGTACATGATTTTGGCATGTCCCACACACTGCTCTGCTAATATAAGTTTTTAATTTAGTATAATTTAACCACTTATTACACACACTGTAGTTAGCAGAGCAGTGTGTGGGACATGCCAAAATCATGTACATCCAATTTAAAAATACGGTATAAAAGGAAGGAAACACATTTCAAGAGACTTATCATTGTACTGATATGTGTGTAAATGTTTGGCCATTTATAATAAGACCTCAGAGTTTCATTATTCTGCTAAATTTTCATGATAACTGAGTGATTCTGATGGGGACACCAAAGTTACTTTATAGTGATATTGACCCAGGAATGAATACATTTTATTGATAAGCTCAAAAGGACCTTTATCTCATTTACTGCTGGGTGACCCAAGTCTCAAGGCCTGCAGGATGTGTAGGAGATAAACATTAATTCTACAAGACTTTAACTGCCTTATCTGAAAATGTATCCGGGAATTCCCCTGTTAATTGCAAGGACTATTGATAATTAGCAGAGAGACCCTAGGGGCCTCTTCTTGGTATCTGCTAGGCAGAAGTCACTCAATGCAGAAATCACAAGTTTAACACACGTTCTATATAAGGTGACATTAAAATGAATATACCAGATTGAAATTTCCTGCCATAACACGTTACTTTAATACTTCAAATAATTCAAATAATACTTCAAAATGCATGTGTCTATAATAAGAAGATGAATCCACGAGGATGTCAGCAATTCTTGTGGGAGCCATCAGGGAAGTAGTATGGTGAGAGTCTGGAAGGACCCGCA